ATTCTGACTGTATATCATCTCTGATTCTAATAAGGCGAATGGCTTCTGTTTGCCCATATTCCCCTCCAAACGTCTGTTCTAGCAGTAAGTTTGGTGAGTGGGTACGAAATTCTGCGAAAAGGGCAGCAACAAATGCACGTGTACAGCTATCCACTGTAATTACGACAGTGGTATATTTACGACAGTGAATTCCACTCACTTAACTGTAGGGGGCTCCAAAGCCACACACATACAGTTTCACTTCAATATGAAATAAATCGCATCTAAACTGAATCTTCTTCTAAACCTATCATTGAAGAATTACGCAGGTAGTTGTCTAGCGTTTTTAGAAGAGAGTTTTTGAGGTGAGTTTACAAACCCCTAAATGAAAATGCAAGTTGTGGTGTTGGAAATTTATATCTAAAAGTATAGTCTACACAAAACCCATATAGAGACAGAAACCTGCACGCTTATAGCTCATATTTTACTGGTGGATCAGGGTCATTGGGACATAAGGATTAACATCCAGGGGTTAAAGGGTTAGTTCACCCAAAAATGAAAATTAGCCCATGAATTACTCACCCTCAAGGCATCCTAGGTGTATATGACTTTCTTCTTTCACACGAATCCAGTCGGAGATTTAAAAATTGTCTTTGATCTTCCAAGCTTTTTAATGGCAGTCAGCGGGTGTTGCAGTTCATCAGCCCAAAAGAAGTGAAATAAAGCGCATCCATTCATAATAAAAAGTACCTCACATGGCTCCGGGGGGTGAACAAAGGCCTCCTTTAGTGAATCGATGCGTTTTTGTAAGAAAAATAACCACATTTAAAACGTAATCAATTTAATCTAGCATGGGCTCACTGTTGTACACAGAAGCAGCTCCGGGAGGATGACGAAGGACGTCAGCATTGCGCATGTGCCGCTCAGAAGTGACGAACGCGGAAGCGCAGGGAAGAGATCAAAACAAAACAACTGTCATGAATTAGAAGTACAAAACGAGGATTTGTAAAGAATGTCGGCGGATTTTGATATAAGCCAAGAGGAGACTGGTTTTCCTTTGTTAAAGTAAGGAAACTTTGCTTCCTTTGCTCCTGTAAACAAACGTTGGTTTTCACAAGACTCACCGGCGCATGTGCAACACTGACCTCATACGTCATCCTCCCGGAGCTGCTTCCGTGTACTGTTGCTGCAGGCTAGATTAAAGGGATATTTCGTTTTGAATATGGATATTTTTCTTACAAAAACGCATCGATTCACTAAAGGAGGCCTTTGTTCACCCCCCGGAGCCATGTGAGGCACTTTTTATTATGGATGGATGCGCTTTATTTCACTTCTTTTGGACTGATGAACTGCAACACCCGCTGACTGCCAGTAAACAGCTTGGAAAATCAAAGACAATTTTTAATATAACTCCGATTGGATTCATCTGAAAGAAGGAAGTCATATACGCCTAGGATGTCTTGAGGGTGAGTAAATAATGGGCCAATTTTCCTTTTTGGGTTAACTATCCCTTTAACAGTGCCTATAGTCCACCTCCACCCGTGCACAGCTTTTCAAATCTCATCCTTGCACTACATTCATCCACTCAACCTCCAATTTATATCATTGCATGAAAGGATTTGCCTTCTGTCCCCTCCACTTGGTCCAAATCAGTCAAGGTCACTGGAGCTGGAAAAGGATGCATGACCAACAAAGCACAAGAGCATCCGCATTTGCCTTAATGTCTGTTGTTTACTGTTAGTCTATCGATCTATCTATCTATCTATCTATCTATCTCTGTCACGTGATTACTTTTTATTCGCATTCTTTTTTTAGCTTGTTTTGATAGAATGTTTTGCTTTCGTTTTGTTTGAATTTAGTTAAACAAAACAATGAAACAAAAGCAAAAAATAGAACTAAACAAGCTAAACAAAAACAGCATGCACATAAAACGTAATCACTCACGTGTATGTTTGGTTTGTTTTCAGTTTTTTTACCTTAGTTTTTTATTTTTTTTCTTATTTATCCCTTTGACAATAACTGCAAAATTTCTACTAATCTGTAGGCATGCAATGTTTTTTTTTTTTTTTTCCCACTTTGTTTTAGTTCAAATCAATAACAATAAAAAAAACAATGCACATAAAAAGTAATCACTTGTTTTGTTTGTTTTTACATTTACTTTTTTTTATTTGTTTTCTGTTTTATTGATCTCTTTGACAGTAACTTCAAGATTTCTTGTAACCTGTAGGCCATTCAAAAGATCTGCACTATTCTGAGTCAGGTAATCCTGGAGCAGGAGCCTGGAGCTGATGGCCATTACAAGGAAACGTCTATATGACATCAAACTGAGCTCCATCATATTAGACATAATATCCAACTTAATAAACTCTGTTGAAATGACAGCCTGTCACAGTGCTATATACCATATATATTTCTTTGTGAACAGAGATGTGAAGACACATTTGATTCCTAATGTAGTTCTCATTCATCAATCAGGCCCTCAAGGTGTGTGTGATGGTGAGGGCAGTTGCGCCGTCAGTGCTGGCAGCATATCACAAGTTCAGGCTCATCCCTATATATAGAAAGCCGCAGGTACCATATAGAACTTTTCTATACTTTTCTCATATCACATATATACAGTATGTTCCACAATGAAGTCACCAAAGTGAGGTGAGAAACAGTGCGAGAAGGTGTTTAACAGGAATGATCACAGTCACCTAGAATGCCTTTAGGGGAAAAATTCAATGATGTTTCCTGTCAATAGGTGCAAAGATGAGTGATATTCACACAAACAAACACTATACCACAACAGTAAGGGTTTTACAGGCCATTGTTACTAAAACACACAGCACTTCAAATTTAAAACTTCAAACTCTGTATTCAAATTGCAAACTTCACACTATAAATTCACAGTCTTGCACATGAAGAGGAAATCACACAAAAATCTCTCGAGTCAAACACCCATCTTTGGTTAATACAATGCTTACATTTATAAAGGTAAAAGGATGAAAGACAGCAGCTAAAATGAGAATGCCTCTGGCAAACTTGCAGTGCTCTTTTCCCACTGTGTGACAAACTGACAGCATGGGTGGAGCAAATGAGTAAACGAGGGAAAGACATACTATTGATTACACAATTTGACAGAAAGACAAAATTAATGTGAAATAAACATTGAGCTATTAAAAATTGTTTATTTTATTATTAGATCAAGAGTTTTTTATCTTATGATTCAATCTAAGGTACATTCACAAAAGAATATCTTCATTTTTATCGTAATGGTGGATTAGGGATGTGATTATCACATTTTCAAAGATTTGTTTCATTTACCCAAATGTTGAAAGATGAACCTGGTACAGCATGTAAGGCCGGTAAATTTACTAGAAATTCAAAATTGTTTAATTGAGGTAAATTTCTACACCAATTTTGTGTGTATGTGTGTGTGTGTGTGTGTGTGTGTGTGTGTGTGTGTGTGTGTGTATGTACCTGCTATTCCCTATACATTACTGAAAATAGAAGAAAAGTAATACCAGTCATTTTTGACCTTTTGAGAACATTTTTTGATCTCCATGAGGAAACAGGCTTATAAATCATACACAAAGTTTTTTGAAAATCTAAAAATGCAGAAAGTTTTGTGTGAGGGGTAGGTTTAGGGGTAGGGTTGAGTTAAGGGGATAGAAAATACAGTTTATACAGTATAAAAACACTCACACCAATGGATGTCCATATAAAACATAGAAACTGGTGCGTCTCTGTGTCAGTGTATATTACTGGCTTGTTACAATAAAAGTAAATATCTTGTCTGAAATACTCAAGGCAACACAGAATCTACTTTGATGTTATGTTCCTTGAGAACATGACGAATATATATGTTATTAAAAAAACATTCATAAAGGTCAAGTGTTTGTATCTGTTACTGCAATCTGTCTTTAAAGAGGAGCTGAGGTGAATAGCAGTCATTACCTTGGTTTCATCAAACAACAAAGTGCACTTAAAAGAGGAATAGTCATCTTTCTCTCTCTGTCACTGCAACATGATCTCATAGATATTATCAGAGGAGCTGGAGAGCTGAAGGTCCCACAAAGGGAAAAAAGGAGATTTTTCTCATGTCACTCCCATGTTAGGACAATGTGACATACATTTTACTGCTAACATTTGAATGACTCAACACCGCAGGTTATTTTGAAAGCACTTTCTAAGTGCAATGTCCTTGAGGCACACTAGAGATATGTTCAATTTACTAGATTTCACCTCTTTTTATCTCTGATAATTATTCAGAGAAAAATCCTCAACCTACATTTAAACTCACACAAAATTGTTGAAAATAAAACATTTTTATTTTTAGTATAAAGTCAATTTTACCAGAATTTCAAACTGTTAACAGTTGATCATGCTTTTAAAGATAAAGCCACTATCATTCCATAAAACATTTCAGAGAATCAAAAACAAATGATTTATTCTATACAGATAAATACACAGGTAAATAAATATATAAGGTATCTTAATCATTATAGTACAAAGTAAATTACTTATTCACATCAAGTAGTGGATGAGTTTGAAATTGGATTTCACAAAGAGTAATTTATCTTTTTAAATTCCTGTGAGCAAGTGAAATCGACATATCATACCAGCCTGCAGAGAAAAAAAATCCTATTTGAGAGGTTAAACCAGGTGCATTCTTCAAAATGATTTCATGCTCAAAAGCTTTTTCAATCTTGTTATTACTTGAATCATGATCCGGCATGAATGTAAATAAATAAATAAATAATATTTCTACTATTTGCTGCTTCCCAGTGATTACAGAATTGGTTCACTAATACATCCCAATAGGTTTGTACTTTACCTGACACAAAGTGCTAGTAGAAAATTTAGGTATTTTCTATTATTTGATTTATAATATAATGTAATATAATATAACAAATACGTTTGTTATGCACCAAATACTATAAAAATGATTTACAAAATAAATGGCAACAGTTTTTGTTTAGTCTAAGGATATATATAGTCTGTTGTACTTACAATAATATCAGTTTCCTACGAGTAGCAAAAGGTGGCGACAGCAGCACAGCAAACTATGAAAACACAGCGGCTTCCGTTCCGTAAGTCACTGTCAGCAGTTTGCAGCTACTGTTTGTCCATATTAGTTATGTTAACACCGTTTTGTCGTCGTTAGTGTGATTTAGGCGTTGGGACTCTAAACACTTTAAATCATGGATGATTCAGACACCGGCGCTATTCTTGCGGAGGACCTGGAGTCGAGTGACTCCAGCAAAGTCTGTTGTTGTTTTAGGGTGCCACAAAACAAACGTCCACCGCCGTGTTCATGTCCGTTTTCCGTGACCGTGGAGCCCGTTATGTTCCTGTCCACGTTCTCCATAGCTCTCCAGATGCCTCTGTACACGCAGTACCTGTGGGATCGTATCAGTGAAGATGTGGGTTATAATAATGGAACAAAGGGAGGAGGATGTAATGCATCTACAGTCCACGATCCTCTGCAGAAGGTAACAGATATTTGACAGTTTATCTGGGTTCGGAACCCAGGTCCGTTTTTTTTTTGTTCAGAAATC